TTTTAGTTAACATAAAAAGTACTAGAGTAGTACTATTCAATTAGTATACAATTAGAACTAGTTACTAATGAGACATATACTTGACATACAAAAATCAGTGTTCATTAATTTAAAGATGGTATGGGAATAAAGAGATTCTGTTCACAGTGAAAGCAAAAGCATAAATTTAACCAAAATTACAATTATAATCCTTTAAGATCACAAAGGAACGTAGAAAGAGAAATTACAACAGTCTTTGTGTTGGACTGGCAAGCTAGCTCAGAAGTCTAAAGCGCCTGCTTAGACAAGCTTAAGCGAGCAGGAAGTGTGGTTTGATCCCTGACACCACATGCTGCACCAGCCCCACCCCAGGGTGGACTGAGCTGGCCACAAAGAAACAAAACAAAAATTGTTGTATCAATCTATACTTTCGGGCTGGGGAGATGGCTCAGTGGAACAAGTACTTCCCTGGCAAGCGCAAGGGCCTGAGTTCAATCCCCGGTTCCGAAAAAAAAAAAAAAAATCTATACTTTCATTGCAGACTTAATCCAGGAAATCTGGAAGGCTGAGGCAGGAAGAACAAAAGTTCAAGCTCAGCCTGGGCAACTTAGACTCTCTCAAAATAAAAAGGGCTGAATATGTAGCTTAGGTACAGGGTACTCCTGGGTTGAATCCCAGTACCGCAACAACAAAGAACAAAACAAAAGCCCTATATGTAGTGAATAGGTCTATAAAAGTTTTAGGGGGAAGTAAGAGACTATACAGTCTTGGCAGTATGGAAGATTTTAAAGCACAAAATTTGGAATTTTGTAACAGATACTTAAATTGACAGATACTGAATTTTTAACAGTGAAAAATTCCAGCAACTTAAGAGATGACCAATGAGTGAGTGAATAAATAAAAAATAATGAGGTTACTGATTTTAAGATGAAGAATATTCTACTCTATACTACATATGCATGAACCTTAAGGACATTACACATGGATAATTTAGTCATAAAGAACAAATGCCTGTGATTTCACTTACTGTGGTCTGTGTTAGAGTACTTAAATTCACAGAGCCAGAACATGGAACAGTGGTTGTCAGGGGCGGAAAGGGAGGGGTAATGGGGAGTATTTGTTTAATGAGTACTTTCAGCTTGATGAACTCAAAAACATCCTTTTGAGTTTGGAGATGAGTTATAGGAGGTGAAAGTACTCACCTTTGTTGCGATCTGTGCACTGAATAAAAAAAAATGATAAGATGACAAAGTGGGAGAACACACTTGGAAATTAATAAGGGATTTTTTATTTGTAATTTATAAATAGCACATACAAAACCACTTAAATTGAAAAGTGTGACAAAGACTTGAATAGGTAATTTAGAGATGAAGGTAGTTCAAAAATAAAACGGTTATGCACTGTAGACTATGACCTTCTTAACAATGGCAGAAGCACAAGTTAATAGTACATTTTATCTATTACATTCTTAAGTTTTAAAAAGTTTTATTCACACTTGTACATTTTTGGTGAAAGCATAAATTTGTTTCTGGGAGCTTTTTCAGAAGGCATTTTAAAATTATCAAAATGTACATTCATATCATTATTCAGCTTTAAAATAGAATATATTTGATATATTCTGATGTAGATCTTCAAAACATGTGGCAAATAATAGAACTGTTTAGTGTGATACTGTTTATGTCAATAAAACCCA